CTTCGCGCAGGCTTTCTCTAATTGTGGTGAGCGGGGGCTACTCTTCATTGTGGTGTGCAGGCTTCTCATTGTGGTGGCTTCTCTTGTTGCAGAGCACAGGGTCTGGGTGCTTGGGCTCAGTAGTTGTGGCTCGCAGGCTCAGTAGTTGTGGCGCACGGGCTTAGTTGCTCCACAGCATGTGGGATCTTCCAGGACCAGGGCTCGAACCCATGTCCCCTGCATTGGCAGGCAGATTGTTAACCACTGTGCCAGCAGGGAAGCCCGGGTTGTTTGTTTTTTTGAACAAGTTCTTTTTTTTTTAATATTTGGCCATGCTGTGTGGCATACGGGATCTTAGTTCCCTGACCAGGGATTGAACTGGTGCCCCCTGCAGTGGGAGTGCAGAGTCTTAACCATTGGACTGCCAGGGTAGTCACTGTTTTCTTTTTGACATTGAGTTGTATGAGCTGTTTGTATATTTTGGAAATTAAGTCCTTGTCGGTTACATCATTTGCAAATATTTTCTCCCATTCTGTGGGCTGTCTTTTCATTTTGTTTATGGTTTCCTTTGCTGTGCAAAAGTTTATAAGTTTGATTTGGTCCCATTTGTTTATTTTTGCTTTTATTTCTTTTGCCTTGGGAGACTGACCTAAGAAAACATTAGTAAGATTTATGTCAGAGAATGTTTGCTTATGTTCTCTTCTAGGAGTTTTATGGTATTATGTCTTATATTTATGTCTTTAAGCCACTTTGAGTTTATTTTTGTGTATGGTGTGAGGATGTGTTCTAACTTAATTGATTTACATTCAGCTGTACAACTTTCCCAACACCACTTGCTAAAAAGACTGTTTTCTTCCCCATTGTATATTTTTGCCTTCTTTGTCAAAGATTAATTGACCATAAGTGTGTGGGTTTATTTCTGGGCTCTCTATTCTGTTCCATTGATCCACATGTCTGTTTTGGGGCCAATACCACGCTGTTTTGATTACTGTACCTTTGTAGTATTGTCTGAAGTCTGGGAGAGTTATGCTTCCTGCTTTGTTCTTTTTTCCTCAGGACTGCTTTGGCAATTCTGGGTCTTTTATGGTTCCATATAAATTTGAGGATTATTTGTTCTAGTTCTGTGAAAAATGTCATGGGTAGTTTGATAGGGATCATACGTACTAAATCTGTAGATTGTTTTGGGTAATATGGCCATTTTAACAATGTTAATTCTCCCAATCCAAGAGCATGGGATATTTTTCCATTCCTTTGAATTATCTTCAATTTCCTTTATTAATGTTTTATAGTTCTCAGCATGTAAGTCTTTCACCTCGTTGGTCAGGTTTATTCCTAAGTATTTTTTGATGGAATTTAAAAAGCTATTGTTTTTTACACTCCCTTTCTGATATTTCATTGTTAGTGTAAAGAAATGCAAATGATTACTGTATGTTAATCTGTGCCCTGCTACCTTGCTGAATTAGTTTATCAGTTCGAATAGATTTTGTGTGGAGTCTTTAGGGTTTTCTATATATGGTACAATTTGGATACTTTTATTTCTTCTTGTTGTCTGATTGCTGTGCCTACAACTTCCAATACTGTGTTGAATAGAAGTGGTGACAGTGGGCATCCTTGTCTTGAGGCCTCATTGTTTTGTTTTGTTTTGTTTTTTGGCCACGCCACTCAGCTTGTGGGATCTTAGTTCCCCGACCCAGGGATTGAACCCAGGCCCTGGCAGTGAAAGCATGGAGTCCTAACCACTGGACCACCAGGGAATTCCTGAGGACCCTCATTGTCAAATGTGCCATGCAGCAGCTACCCCTTGTATGTAGAGATGGAGGCTCATCTGGAAGGGGAGATGATTCAACAGCACAAAAAAACCCAAACGTAAAAGTGCCAATGAGCAGAGGAGGTGACGCATCCTACAGAGCCGAAATGAGGAGGAGGTCTCAGGAGCTTTGGAAGCTTGTATGAGAATCTGGGGGGGCTTTGGGCAAAGTCCCTGTCAGTAGCTGCCACGGGATGGAGAAGATGAAACCGAACAGAAAGACAGCCAGGCCAGGAGCTCAAAAGTCGTCAGCTCTTTACGTTAGGAAAGAAATTGCTGTGGGATCACAGATTGCTATTTTGGGAACATGAGTTTGTTTGTTTTTTTAAGCTATTTATATTTTCTGTAATTTAGGTCCTTTTTGTTCTCTCTTAGTGTTTAGTACATTTTAAAAATGCTAGTCTGGTCAGCTGTGCTAAGAGGAACCAAGAAAGAGGTTTTTGTCCAGTTTGGACCAGAGTTTTAAAGGGGAAGCAGCTTACCAACCACGTGACAAGGTGGAGACAAGTGCCGTTGCTGGAGTGAGAGAGCCTCAAAGGGAAGGTACACCAAGAGCAACTGAGTTGGAAACTGTGGTTTAGATGCTCCCCCCACCCCGAGATGCATTTATCAAATCTGGGTCCATATCTCCATCCCCGCAGTCTGTTACTCCCCTAGTGGCCCAGACAAGAGGCAAGAAGAGACCTCAATGAACAATGAGAAGGAACAGCACCCTGGGATTGGTGGCCCAGGGCTGGAGTGGGCGGGTCACCATGGAGTTTGCCCTCCAGAATGCAGCCAGCAAACAGAAAAGCTGGTCTTAGTCTGGAGACGGGGGAGGGGTGTTCAATGTTAGCAGGAACCGCGGGGTGCCAAGTACTCAAGCAAGCAGGTTACCAAATCTTTTTTCTAGTTAATGCAGGAGAGGACACACACAGGCTGCAGAGGATCCCGACTAGTGCCCAGGAAGGGGATGAGTGAGGGTTACTGGGGCACAGGACAGAGCTCAGGTAGACAGGTGGAATCTAAAGCAGAGACAGGGTCAGAACAGGCCATTATCACGGCAGAATTGGGGGTAGGGAAAGGCTGCTGATGGTGGCCTGAGGACTGGGGACCGCCCAGGCATCCTGGCCGTGAGGTTTGGAGGAGCTGAGTCATTCCAGACTCCACCCAGGCCTGGCTCTCTGGGACTGCTGCTCGAAGACCTTTGGTAGCTACAGATGGGTAGAACTGGGATTGGGCAGGCACTGTCACTGCCAGAATCACGGGCTCAGGCCTGCCCTCACGGTCTGCTCCAGTTGTCTAAAACCTAGTAACATGCCCAAACATAGTGGCTTAAAACAACAATAGTCCTTTATTTTGCATTTCAAGCAGGGCAAGGGAGAGACCACTCTGCTCCACGTGCCTGGGGCCCATGACTTAAATGGTTGGGGACAGCAGGGGGCTGGCAGGGCATCTCCCTGTGGTCTCTCTCCTGTTCTCTCCAGCATGGAGGCCTCAGGGTAGCTGAGCTTAGTGGTGGCTCAGGGCACCAAGGGCTACCATTTCCAGAGGCCCAGAGAGAAGCTGCAAGGTGTTTATGATCTATCTTAAGAAGTTCCAGGATATAGTGACTTAGTGCTTTCCATCCCTAAATCCAGCCCAAACTCAAGGGAAACGGTATAGACCCCACTTCTCAATAGAAGGAGTGTCAAAGAATTTGCCACCATTTTTAATGCATCACAGCATCTCACCAAGTCGTCAGCAAAGTCTCCCAGCTGAGCCCCCTGTTCCCAGATTCTCACTGATGGCAGCTGGGAGGCAGCAATGCACTGGGTAGAAAAAGTGAGGGCTTTGGAAGTCACCGGGCCTGCATTCTGGTCGAGGCAGGATTCACCCCTCAGCAACTGGTTGAGCTTGTTAGGTTACTCACCTCTCAGAGCCACGGTTTCCTTGTGTGCAAAACGGGAATACTACTACCATAGTGGCCAAGAAAACGTACTCTCAGAACTTGCAGTGCAGAGCATAGCTGACCAATGGCCCTGTCCCAGCTGCTGAGCCCTAAAATCTATCCTCTGATCCTCATCCCCAGCTTGGTGCAGAGGCCAGTTTCCTAGGGCTGCCGCCAGCCCATGCCTAATGACAAGAAGCCTGTTCCTGGGGGATGCTGGACTCCTGGGACAGGGCAGCTTGGCTTAGGATCCCCCAAGGCCTTGCTGAACTTTCTTAGAGCTTCACTGTAGCATAAGATGCTTCCTTCCATTCAGCCTTTCCTCCTCACCTCTCTCCTTCACAAAGGCCACACCTGCATCCCAGGTCCAGCTTCCTGTCCAAGTGCCCTCATAAATCTCTGGCACAGTGCTCCCATCTGGCACTGCTTTGGGGGAACTGGGACAAACAGCCACAAGGCTGCTGTGGGTATTAAATAGGTGTGTGTAAGCACCTAGCCAAGGCCTAGCATATAGTTGATGTTCATTCAACTAATATTTCTTGAGTCCCCGCTGAGTGCGGACTTTAGCCTGGCTGCCTTGGGACATAGTGGTGAGCAAAGCAGATGACAACATCAGGGCCACCTGCTTGAAGCCTCTTGCTGACCCCACTGAGCAGGGATAAAGTCTCAACTCTCCTATGGGACACAAGAGCCCTTGAAAGTCTGACCCCAAGGGGCCTCCACACCTCTCATCCTACACTGCACACCTGAGCCTAGAGTCAAAAGTAACTTCTTTCCTCCTACAATCTTGCTTTTTCACCCTCAATGTCTGAACACAGCTTTTTCTTCTCCTCCAAATACTTCTTCCCTCCCTTGCACACACCCCTCACGTGACAAAACAAACCCTTACCCATCCCCCAAGGCCCAGTTCAACTGTGAGGTCCTAGGTCGCCGGGGCAGAGGTGTGGTAGGCACAGATCTCAGCACGCACCTCGTCAATGTTACATTGCGCCTTAATTGCGGTTCACAGTGTCCCCGCTAACTTGTGAGCTCGTCTAGAGCAGGCGCAGTGTCGTATGCATCCTGAATCCCCCGTGCTTGGCCCGCAGCTCGTATATGGGGAGGGGGTAGAGCCGGGGAGGGCAGGCGATTTTCCGGGGTGGCCGCGGGGCCTGCGACGAGGGGGCGGGGGGCGCTGCCGGGCGGGGATCAGGGAGCCGCTGGCGCTGGGGGGCCGCCGGGACTGGCCGCGGGTCGCGCGGGCCGAATCGCGGCAGCCGCTGCGGGGCACATGACTGCGGGCTCAGCCTCCGCCCCGCCCGCTTCCCCGCGCAGTTGCCGGCTGTCGCCTCCCGGGGCTGCGGAGAGCCCGGCCGGCGAGCGTCCCCGCCCTGCGCGCTCCCTTTCCCTCGCGAGCTGCGCCACAAGGGCGTTGCGGCTGCCCCGGCCAGGGAAAGCGAAACCAAAGCGCGCCTTCCACTCCCCATCGGCCGGCCGGGGGCAGTGGGGCCGCGCTTGCCCGGCCGCGGAGCCGGGAGCCAGGCGCATCGGCCGGGCCGCAGGCGCCCGAGGGTCCCGGGTCTTCCGGCCGCTACTGCGGCGGCTGCGGCGGCGCCTCCCTCCCTCCCTGTTTCCCGTCCAGTCGCCGGCCGCCGGGCCCGTGAGCGGTGCGCGGAATGGGCAGGTGCTGCTTCTACGTGGTGGGGACGCTGTCTCTGCTTCTGCTGGTGACCAGTGTCACGCTGCTGGTGGCCAGAGTCTTCCAGAAGGCCGTGGACCAGACGATCGAGAAGGTGAGGCGTGGCCGGCTGTGTGTGTGTGCGTGCGCGCGCGCGTGTGTGTTGGGAGGACACTTCCAGCCCACCCTCCCTCTGCTAAACCTTGTGCAGGGAGGATCTGCACCCCGGCGAACCCTCTAGACTAGAGCCCTGCTCTCCTCCCTGTCTTCTTGGGGTGGGTTGGTAAGGGTTAAAGAAGGAGGAAAGGAATGAGAACGCTTCTGTTCCTTTTAGAATAATAAACGAGACTACGGATCTAGACTTTTAAAGAATTCACTTCTCTTCTCTTGTTTGCATCCCCGCCCACCCCGGGACCTCCCTACGCCCCAATTTCTGTTGGGCCCAAACTCATTTTCCTCCCACTTCATGAAGAAACAAAACTAAATGAAAGACCCCACAGGTGTGTTGGCTGCTTGCTGTGGCCTTGGAAGTGATGTGGGGTGGGATGCGAAGCGGGTGTGTGGTCTATTGTGTCCTTGCCTTCCTGGGCTGAGCCCACGCTTGGTAGCCAGGCCACGCCTTTGGGCTGGGTGACTTTCCAGTCCATCAGAGTCTGTGCTTACCGGCCGACTTAGATGTTTGATATCTTGTACCAGCAGTCTGTGTTGCTTTGTTTCACCGTGGATTCTTGCTCTTCTCAAACAGCCGTAAGCTTCAGGCAGAGATACATTTAGATCCTTAAAAGAATCTGAGCCCATCTCTTCCCCCTAGATGTGTATGCCGGAGAGCTGGTCATTTCAGATTTCTCCATCCTATGACTTCACCAGTAGTCATTTCTCCTGCCCTTTCACCTACACCCACCAACCTGTGTGGAAAGAGGAACCAGAGAGAGTTAATGGCATCGCTTTTTCCTTTAAAAAAAGATTATTGGAGCAGGCTTTCTTGTTAGCACCCATAACTGCATGCCTAATTTCTTCCACTGGTTGACACTTGCTGTTGGCCAGATAATAAAAGCCCCGGGCCTCCTCCAAGATTGATCACTGCACTCCCCGTTAGCAAAATTGTTTCGTTCCAGGTGGCAAAAGACATATTCCTTTAATAGAGCCTTTTCTAAAGGCCATCAATTACTTGAAATCTGACGGTTAGAGGCAACTTTAAAAAAAATGCCACGGCAAAGCATAGTTTAATTTTTTTAAAGTTCACATTGCCAGTGGGAGACAAGGCCCACTGTCTGAGCTGCTCAAAGGCCATTGTTTTCTCTGAGCACCCATGTTCAAAGAAAAAACTAAACTGAATCTCTCCACGCTTGTCCACCTGCAAGTCCATGGCAAGATTGTTTAAGGATGTAACCTCTTGCTTGGGTGACTAGAGTTAAGCAATCCAGTTGCAGCCAATTGAATTTTCTTGTGTGGCTTTGAAAGGCTGTTTCAGGAGAGCCCTGTAGGTTGAGTGATCTCCACCGTGTCTCAGATATTATCAGCCTTCTGATGCTCTGTGGGTGTACATTCATGGGCGGTGCGCAGGGAGGATGCCGGGCGGTGTGGGCTGTAAGGCAGCTTGGCTGGGACTTGAGTTGGTGTTGATATTTGGTAATTGGCTTTTAAAGGTGGTTTTCTCCATGAGGAATGGACTCTGATCTGACTGATAAATTATAGTACAGAGGAAGTGAACTTTCAGAATTGCCTCACCCTGTTAAGGAATATCGCACAATGTGGTATGTGAAACTAAATGACAGGGCTAGTTTCTGTGGACAGGTGTGGGAATATTGTAAGGCAACCAGAGGTCACGCATTACCATCATTACCATTCTGCTTTCCTGGATCACCTGTAGGATGGTAGCAAGAGGTGGCGGGAAAGAGTAAGGTCTCTGCAGGTCAATTCGTGGGCATGAATCCTGGCTCCCCTGTGTACTAGCTAGGTTACCTTTGACTGGTGCTTAACCTTTCTTGATTTTAGGTTTTTCCATCTGTAAATGGGGATAATAACAACTCCCGTAGATAGAAGGACTATAAGAGTTATTAGAGGAAATGAGTGTACTTTTCACGGGGTATAGTTAGTATGTATAGTTATTTGTAAATGATACCAGTTTTATTTTCGTTAGAAGGCACGTAAGCAAAGAAAAAATACATGAGATTTGAGGTCAGGCACCCTATGTTCAAATCCTAGCCCTGACATTTCCAAGCCTCTTGCCTCTGAGCAAGTTACTTCTCTGAGCCTCAATTTCATTCCTTGGAGAAGTGAGGATGTTAGCCATCTTGGGCACAGCGGTGCGTTTACCATGAAGGTCACGAAGCTCACGCTTTGGGTCCCTCGCTTGCACAGGCCCTTCCAAAGCCTTCTACCTAATTCTGTATCCAAAATGTTCTTTTCTTAAGGAGGGCCTCCACACCATGTACAAGCTTCACACAAACCCACGATCTGCCTCTGTGTGTGCTGTCGTGAGACCGAGTGAGGTAATCTGAGCACAGTCTCAGGCACGGAATAGGTGATCAGTTATGGCTGCCATCATTCTTTCCATTAATGTTGTTATGGAAAATTCATTCATAGCTTGACTTTAATATACTTGTAATATAATCCACTCTGATACTCCCAGTTCTTAATTTTTTTCATTTGAAGACTGTGTCCTGTCTTGTCTACATCAAAAAGAGAAGAGAGAAAATCAAATGAGTAGGTTGGGTTAATTGTGAGAAGCTTAGTAACATAATTCCTATTAGAAGAATTTGTTTCATGTGATAATTATCTTTGATCCCACAGTAGCCAGGGGTGATTGAAGGGAGATTTTAATTTTGGCCATTGAATAGAGTGGAAGGAACCAAGACCGTTTGGTTCCATTCTTGGCTTGTTATATTATGCCTTGCATTGGGCAAGCCCTGTAATTGTTTCTCTTTACTTTTCTCAATTGCAGAAGAGGCAGAGTAATGCTTCCCTCCTTGGCCCACACCCACATCCTGGGGGATACTCTGAGCATTAACCAGGCCTCCTCTGTCGTGCATTTTAACCTCCCTGAAGACAGAGCTTTGCAGAGACCTAGCAACCTCTTTTCCTCCCTAGAACCTGGAAGGGCAGGATTTTAATGTGACATTTCATCTGGTAACCCTGCTAATTGTTCTGACACCTAGTGTAGTGCCTGGTACATGGTAGGTAGCTAAAAAGCCTGCTGCCTCACTTTTGATCATTTTACTTGAAAGAACAGTGTCGTAAGAATCAGCAGAGCTTGGTTAAAACTCCTTTTTCTGTCACTAACAAATACTTGGATTAAACTGGACAAGCCAAGTAGCAAAGTATTGAACCTCTCAAACCCTTAGGTTCCTCATCTTGAAAATGGGGGTAACAAGAATGCCTACCTTTGGGTTGGGGCAAGAATGAAATAAAAGGATTGATGGAAAGCATATAGCACAGTCCCTCCCAAGCACCTGACTTTGTTATTGTAATTTGTATAGGCAACATATTTGTACAGACAACAGTAAACATTTGTTATTGTTTCCAGCTATTCGTTTCTCATCTAGGAACTGAAGCTTATGTAGTAAAGTTCCTTCTAGCTTCAAATTTCTGAGATTCTATGACACAGGCATACGACCTGTGCTTGAGAACAACTCTGCAGCTCAGGATATTAAATTTGCCTTTAGGCTTGTTGACAGTTTAAACATCTCCCAGAAATTAGGACACAGAGCTGGCCAAAGTCAGGGCTGGCTAATAAGAGATGGGCTGGCAAGGGAAGCAGTGAGAGGGCAAGAGACTGTTGACACTTTGCTTCCTATTCACAGACCAAGGAAGAACGATAGCCTTAGGTCTCAGCGACGAGACAAACGGGACAGATTCCCTTACCCTTTGCCAGAACCTGAGGCTCTGGGCAGGTACCAGCTGGCCTCCATCGGGAGCCAAAGCAACTTTGGAGTTGTTCTAGTGCCCCAAGAAATAAAATATAAGCACTGATAATTTAACCAAGTAACATTGATTGGTGAATATGTGGGGTCTTTTTTAAAGTCAAATGAGTAAAACATCTTCGTTGTTGTTTATGTAAAGACAATCAAGTATATGTAATCTTAAAGGGCTCCTTCTTGCCCGGCTACCTCATCTCCTTAGCTGTCTCTTTTCAGAGTTAAGAAGACATAGAATCTTAGATTAAGAAAAAAACCTTAGGCATCACTTAATCTGTTATTTTCTAGTCAAGGAAACTGAGACTGTCAATTTTGAAATGGATGGTGGTGGGTATCGAATTACCTTTACACCTATGTGGCACTGGATACGTTGCCTGTGACAGTTCTGGCTTATTGACACCTGTTATCCCGGAGCAGTTACTAGCACCTTCTTTCCTTTCAAAAGATTCGTGGTGACAGAAAATTCTACCCTCACATATCACATTGTCCTCCACTTCTTGGCATTAAAGAGGGGCAATGCTCTCTGAGGAAACGAGGCACCCTCACGCGAGCTCAGGAAAGAGCTAGCCGTAGGGGCTTCCCTGGTGGCGCGGTGGTTGAGAGTCCGCCTGCCGATGCAGGGGACACGGGTTCGTGCCCCGGTCCGGGAAGATCCCACATGCCGCGGAGCGGCTGTGCCGGTGAGCCATGGCCGCTGAGCCTGTGCGTCCGGAGCTTGTGCTCCGCAACGGGAGAGGCCACAACAGTGAGAGGCCCGCGTACCGCAAAAAAAAATAAAAAGAGCTAGCCGGCTTTTTATAAAGCCGGAAGAGGAAGCTCATAGAAATCGAAGGGTAAGAACCATAGCACAGTCAGGCCTCCTGCCAATCCAGTAGAAACTGGAAAGTCAGCAGGACCAGGCACGCTCTGTGTCTCCCACGCGTTCCTCTGCTTTCCCCACCAACCAGCTTCCTCTGTTTCCTCTGGCCCAGGCTGTTTCCTCATCTGGACCTTCCCCAGCCCTGACCCTATATGACTCTTCAGCTGCTGAGCCTCCCATGAACATGCTTCATCTCTCAGTTCCTTCTTTCCAGATTCGTGATAGAGTCATGTAATTGGCTCAGCACAAGCAGAAACCATAGATCTGTAAACAGAGGCCGTATCCTTGCCAGATTCTTGAACTCATAAGCAAATTATCCAACTCCTCCCTGGCTTTTAG